TCGCTCTGGAACGAGAACACGAACCTTTGACAATATGGCCATCACAAGGAGCTCCCTAGAGTAATCGAGATCGGGAGGCAGCCTCGATTTATCAATCGTCTTTACCGCGCGGTAGTGGCCCGTAGTCCTCTGGATCTGCTTACGAACGACACCGAACCCCCCCCTGCCGATTTCCTCACAATCTCGCCAAACTTCCTTTACTTTCTCATCCCGAAATCTCGCTTTCTCTACAATTCTTGTGTGCCTAACATGATCCTGAAAGAGCTCCGTTTCGATTCTATACCACTCAACCAAATCGGATTGGTTTGTCTCCAGTGATGTTATTAGGAGCCCCTTTCCCATCTCAGTACCTCCCTCGCTCTCATCAGCTGGAATTTGTGCAACCTCGCCGTTGTCCCCCCCACTGGTCCCGCTTCTAAGGTCTGTTATCCATGCATGGCCCAAGGCTTCTATAGCACCCGGGCGACCCTCCGGTTGTAATGAGACCATGGATTTAATTAGAGAGATTACTACATCGTCTATTGGAGGTGACAAGTTTTTGAGTCTATTTTCGGGGAAGGACCACCGCCCATAGAAGTATGAGTATACCTGGCCCTCCGGATCAAACAACTTTGCTCCCGCAAGTAGTTCATATATCACACACCCTAGCGACCAAATATCGACGGCTTTTGTGTATACAGAGGTCTCGCTATTGGTGTCCACTCCTAGGACCTCTGGGGCTGTGTAGAATCGACTAAACAACCGAGTACGGTAGGTCGTAAGGTCTTGGGCCCGGATTCATTTTGATACGCCGAAATCTCCCAGCTTGACTTGGACAGGCGACATGGAAACAACAAAGATATTCTGTGCTTTTCTGTCAGCTTGACCACTCCGACAGGGCTTACTTCGGGCGGGTGTTGAGAGAATGGAGATTCTACCTCCGGCTTAACATCCCTATGAGCGATCCCTTTTTCATGCATTACCTTCAGACCCTCGAGTAGTTGATTTGCAATTTGCTGAACAGTCTTTTGCGGTAGCGGTTTGCCAATGTGGGTCCTGAGGTCACCCAGTTCAATATACTCCATTGCGATACACAGAGTATCGCTTCCTTCGAACCACCCAAGGAACTGTATGAACAATGATGCATGCTAAAAGCAAAAGGAGGTTAGAATCCGAAATGCCGACAAAAAGATAGTTCAGGTCGGAGACTCTAGGGGCCAAGGATACGAACCTTCGCTAAATCAGCCATTACCATAAGTTCCCCGGAATAATCGAGCCCAGATGGAAGCCTCCTCTTATCTATTGTTTTGACCGCCCGATAGCGGCCTGTATTGATTTCACGTTGTTTGAAAACAAAGCTGAAATATCCGTGCCCAAGCTCCTCAAGATTTTCCCAATCCTCCACCTTCTCCCTCACACCCTCATGGTTGTCCGAATGAATTGTGTGGCGGACACAATTTTTGAGGAACTGTGTCTTGAGTCTATATGGCTCAACTTGGTCTAATTGCTCCGTAGTCATTGTTCACCACCAGAAATATTTGTAGGAGTAGTAAGTTTGATGTCAGGGCTCCGACGGAGGAATAAAAGGATTTAGGAAATCGTAGCCCTGCACCCCTAGAGGTTTGACCCTTTGACGGAATTCCTTCCACGACCATACCCCAGCTTGCGCTTTATTGATGATATAGTACTTGTATTGCATGTGCAGCAAGATTGGCTAATAGATGCTGATAGTTACGGATAACGATAGGAATTCCCATGCCACCCCGGATCTTACCAGTCTAATTAACAGTTTCCATAACATTTTATCATATCACACTGTTGTGGTCCAATGTGATCCAAGCACGTGTAGAACTATAAGATTGGTTTAACGTGTTCACTCGCCTAGCAACCAGTAGCCATCATATGCTGCACAGGGTAAGTTTATAGGGTGAAGCGTAACGATTCAAAAGTGTGTATCCGAAGCATGAAGAAAAGGGACGATCTGTGATTCCACGGGCGCGGGGGTGCTTAGAACAGAATTCATCGGATTTAGGAGTGAGTCGGGCGAATGTGGCTCACCAGACCCTTATTATCCCGTTGCCAAGAATCCGCCATACTTTCCTCTACAAGTAGGCTCCTAGTTCATATACCCGAGTACTCTCTTTTCCAAAATAAAAACAAAAACATTAACCTTCAAGTTGACGATGGCGGCCTCCAATAAGTGCAATTGTCCAAATTTCCAAACCTCAATGATTAGTACGGTACCAGCGAACCTGGTAAGCTTTCCCAACGCTTCTAAATGCGGCTTATGATTTTTCTAAGGTGTGCCGTCTTCTAAAGCGGAGACATGACAGACCGGGATCTAAAAATGTCGTTCTAGATGTCTCTGGGAATTCTTGAGCAACTTCCTTTAGGACTTGAGAGTCATTTAGAAGGCTTTTTTCAAGCAATTTTTCCCAACCTTTTACAGTACCACAGGTTAACCCTGCATTGAGGGGAGGTGGAAACGGGAAATATACCACAATCCCGGCGGAAGTAGTGTAGTTCCTATTAAATATACTAGGGAAAACTTTCCCCTGAATAACTCTTAGCTTTTGGATGGCGCTATGGCCACTGCCCAGGAATTTTTCTACTGTCACTAATGTCATTTTTGCATTGTCGGCCGCTTGTGGTCCCTCGTTGGGTGCTCAAGAGCCAAATAGCCGATACCCTCGATAATAGATAATAATATTATTATAAGGTGGCTTCCGGATTTTAACTTAGTACTATATTTCTTCGCTAAAATACCACAGTTTAAATCTTCTCAGAAATCAAAGCTACCGAAAAGCTATCAAGAAAACCTAATACGGGTGAAAATATCGTGCTCACAGAGTTATTGATTACTAGGATTTAGAAATTTGGAGATTTAGGCCTATGGGAAGCCACTCGCTGGGCTATCATACTCGCTCACATTAGTTATAGTTTCCACATATTTTGAACAAAAAGGAAAAAGGAAAAACAGGAGACAGATCTCCTTTATTAATTTCCTTACCGGGAAAACCACCTAGGCCGTTCTCGCAAAATCTACAAGTAAATCCCAAGTCACCCAGCACAATTAAGGCCCCACAACAGAAAGGTCACTCCTCCAAAATGCATCATCAATTCAATGACCGGAGAGCCGTGCTAAAATATAACCCCGAATTTAGCCCCTCGAGATGAAGTGATTTAGTTAATAGCTGATACCTACAACCATCACAGTGAGTGTATACCGATGAAGTAGTATACATATCCCCCATTCTGGTCAGATCTATGACCGGGGGGAAGTATATATGGAGAATCGACATGTTATCAGCTACTCCCCGAAGCGCGCAATATATCACCATACGTGCTAGCCAAGGACTACATAGGTACGAAGGTGGGGCAGATGTTACCTTCCCCAGTATCATATATCCGGACATTCAACCCGATCCAATAACTATGAACTACAAGTCCGACACGCCGCTCTTTAATTCACATACAGCAAGGTAACCAGTATGAGCTACGAGATATCCTCTGGAAAGCACGCTAAGCAATCACATGTTATCACTCGAATAACTAGTCTTTCTCTTCCACCACTAGGACATTAAACTTGAGTGATTTCCCATTCCGATTAGCAAATCAACAGTAAAACGGTCAATGATTGCACAACCGGATATTCTAGCTGATGCAAAGTCGATAAAAATACCCTCCTCTGCCTTCTCCCGGGAGAGCACTCAATTCAAATTCTAGCTCGAACTCGCCGGTTTGTTTTGATCACCGGATTGAACATAGCGGCATAGTGTGCTAGTCCACTCTATTAGGCTCGAGAGTTAATTACTACCCGATCCCCATACGCTTAAGTTTGGGCATAACAGGACGGTGGATATGGAGATTGTCATACTACGGCAGCACACTCGTAATGCATAATCAGGTACGGCATCTAGCACAGCCAGCCGAGGACTAGAAGAGCGGGAAGAGGGCGGACAAATATTCCATTTACCAATGCACTTGAGCACCTGGCACGGTAGTACCATAGAATCTCAAATGATTGGGTGTGATTGGTAGTATGCTACCGCATAGACTAGTGAAAACCGGCTGCCGCTAGTACTTGTACTAGTACGCTCAAACGAGATTTTTATCCTAGGCTTGTCTCGAAATCGGAATAAAACGCCGTAAGCTAACTCTTTATAGCCAGTATCATACTTTCAGAAGGTCCGCTGTTGACGCAATTGTAAGAGTCACCTCAGCAAATTCTTATCTCAACGTGAAAGTGTCTGCCGGTCTTCACCAGTCTGTGGTATGTCGTCCGAGCTGCCTCCTCCGGGGCGACCTACTAGGGGCTCTCACACCGGTGGTTCGGTTCCGGGGTGCGTAATTTACTGCTGTTCTAGCAGGCTGAGCGCAGTATGGTGTGGGACCTCCCAATACATACCAAATCTTTACCACCCATTTTGCATATTCGTTTTGTGCAGAGCCCCTTCCTACGCCGACAAAGTCCCCATCACCAGTGGCCCGCGACCACCCCCTCTTTTGCTCAAGTCAACAGTGTACATTACCACTGCCCTCAGAACCGCCGAAACATCCTGAGTATGATACCACCTCCAAAGCCGGCACTAGTGCTGCAGCTCATTTCTCGAGTTCGCGGTTCATGAGCTGCAAACCGCCTCTTTGAACTGTGGTGAACTGGTGGTGAGGACCCTTACTGTTTCACTGTTCGCAGCCGTACATACCCCGATACCACGGCAGGCGCTGCGCGAAACAACCCATTCGTGATAAGGTCTCGAGAAGGTGAGACACAGGAGCACGATACTTTCGCATCAACCTTTTGACCAAGAGGCCGGAGACAGACAAAAAACACCCTCTTTACTGGCGATAAAGACATCGTACAGATTTCGCTGATCAACATTTAATACATCTAGCCAATGCCTATTTATCCGCAAATTTTCCAGCACAGAAATGACTTCGACATGAGTCTAGAGAACTCCTTCTAAGCATTATACCATAAGTCACGCAATCACAACCAACGTTCCAGAATCTCTCGATCGAGCGAATTCCCTTCGATTTCGTAAGTTCAAACTTGACATTGTAAATACAGGTAGATAGCAATAAAAATTACGATTGATCTTTCTGAACCTAGCCAAAAATTTCATTCCACTTCATGATTCAGTCACCCCTGATGTGTGATGTATTTCCCCGGTTTCCTACACCCCCTCCACTTCTGTCGCTGGTATGATATTGTTCTCTCAGCCTGACCTAGGCTCGGCTACCAGCAGGCTTGGGTTCAGCACGAGATGGGGGTTCAGTCCGAGGTTTCCTCCGGCATTGGGGCTCCACCCAATACCAGAGTTCCCTCCAGTGCCCAATTCTCGCCTAGGGGTCCGATCTCCATCGGAGTTAGAGTTTAATCCAACATTGGGACCCTGACTAGGATCCGAGTCAGCGGCAGGATTCTGTCCGTCATTAGGGTTCTGTCCTGCATTAGGGCTTTGCCCAATGTTAGGAATGTTCAGTGGATTGATGTCTGTGTCGCCCCGGCCCCCGCCACCCTCCCCATTGAGGGCATTAGGCGTAGAATTCGGCGAGCCTTCGTCCTCTGAAGTTTCCGAATCATCTGACCTGAACCTGCTCTTCCGGGTAGGGTAGGTTCGTCGGTGCGCAATTCTCGTTGTAGGTACATCTAGAGCGGAGGCGGGGGCGTTGTGATTTGGGGCGGGTTCCACCGGTCCATTTGTCACCGGGGTCAATTGAGGTCCATCTCCATTGTGAGGGTCGGGCGTCGGAGGATCACCTGTGGGAGATCTAAGGTTCGTTAGCAACACGTTTTAAAGGCAGGTTGGGGTTGGTATTCGGGGTGTTACCCTGGAGACACGTTTGCGGGATATTGCGGATCCATTTCTTCCTTTGCGCCTTCGGGCTCTTGGGATGGGTCGCTTGGTGATTGTGGGGCGTCTGCTGTCGGTCCCGGTTTCGGGGACCCCTCCCGCGCCGATGGGCCCTCGACGGGGGCCGTATTCGGTGGTGTCAATATAGCAGTGCTAATCGGGGTGGTAGGATAATTTCCCGGACCCGGCCCTGAAGCTACGCTTCCCAGGGTGTACTCTGTGTTGTTCCGGGAGGTCCGGATCCCCCTGATCCTTTCTTTTGGTCTGTCACGAGTGGTCAGTTTGTTTCAGCCACTTCTGCTCCGGGTGCTCCCATACCGACGCTGTGCCGTTTCACCTTGGGCATCTCCGCTACCCTCACCATCCTCAAGTTCCGCCAACCACACATGATCCAGCGCACCAGCCGCGGTGGGGCGTCCCTCGGGTTGAATTGCAAGCATGGACTTTAATAATAAAATTCCGACATCGTCTGTTGGGGGCGATAACCCTTTTAATTTGTCCTCGGGAAAGAGCAATTTCCCGAAGAAGTAACGGGCTACATCACCTTCTCCTGGGAATAGCATCGTCCCTACAAGTAACTCATATATAACACATCCGAGCGACCAAATGTCAACAGAATTCGTATAGGCAGAGGTTTCGCTATTGGAGTCCAACCCCTGAACCTCGGGAGCGCTGTAGGCTTGAGTAAATGCCTGGGTGCGAAATTCCGTGGAAGCTTCCTGGATCCGTTTTGATATTCCGAAATCCCCCAGTTTGACCCAGACGGGAGACATGGAAACTACAAAAATATTCTATGCATTCGTCAGTACATTGCGATACGACATGGTGTTAAGGATCATACCGCAGGCTTTAGATCCCGATGAGCTATCCCCTGCTGATGCATTACTTCGAGGCCCTCGAGTATCTGAATTGAAATATTTCGAACGGTGTCTTGCGGTAATGGTTTACCGATATGCTTGGTGAGATCACCTTCCTCAAGATATTCCATTGCAATGTACAGATTCGCGGGTTGCTCGAACCATCCCAGAAACTCCACAAACAATGACGGACGCTAAAACAGCCGACGGTTAGACCGGCAAGGTTGCTCGGGATGAGAACACAAACCTTTGCCAATATGGCCATCACAAGAAGCTCCCTAGAGTAATCGAGATCGGGAGGCAGCCTCGATTTATCAATCGTCTTTACCGCGCGGTAGTGGCCAGTAGCCCTCTGAATCTGCTTATGGACGACACCGAACCCCCCCCTGCCGAGTTCCTCACAATCTCGCCAAACTTCCTTCACTTTCTCATTCCTACATCTCGCTTTCTCCACATATATTGTGTGTGTGACATGATCCTGACGGAACTCTGTTTCGATTTTATACCACACAACCAAATCGGATTGAGCCTTGTCCATGACTCCCGAGGCTCTTTGAGTCCCGAACACACTCTGAAGTAGTTGAAAAAGCGGAATGCAAAGTCAGGATGGCCGTGGCTAGAGAATATGGAGGTGAGGATTCGTGAATCAAGCGAAGAGTGTGATGGCAAAAGCGACAGGGGAAAGTCAGTAAACCCTCCCGCCGCAGAGTCCCAACCTCAAAAATATTCGCCAAAATCAAAAGTCTGTCTCCGAGGTATAGCCACGAGCGGCAACACGACAATTACTCTCCTCTAGCAGCCTTGACTATAGGAGAATTATGTTGATAGCTATCGCTCATAAATCAAATACCCATGGGAACCAGTGTCTAGTAGTGTTGAGAGGTTATGAGAAGTAGGTGCAATGCTTACAAGCAAGGTGGAGATGGGCGATTGTTGGTGCATAGATAAACTACTCCACCTTAACGCCAAGGCCCACCGAAGCCCCAATCCTTGGCGCCGGGGTGTCCAGGAGCTGATAAATTTCAAGATGTAGCTGGCGCACCTCAACCAATCGAAAAAATCGGAATAGGGAGCTTAGACACTTCCTCTCCACTCAAGGAAGCCCTGTACTGTACCCGTTACGGGCTGACGCTCGTGAACACGACGGCTCGCGCACATTACACCCAGAACTAGGCAAAAAGAGCTGAAATTCGGGGGTGTGCAATACTGGTAGCGATCGTGCTCACAAATGTAGCCCCATTACGAGTGGCCATATGCTGTGTTAATATTCCACATAGTCTATCATGGTGCATCCTATCTTGAATTAAGCACCACAAGCGGAGTATCAATATTCTGTGCCTGAGTGACATTAGACTGTCCTTTACCGAGAGCCTCCCCTGAATCCTCGCTTCCGCCCGACAGCACCACACCCATGGGGGAGGCTCGGCGCCCTACTACCGTACTCGTACATAAGGGGAATAAATTACAGCCGAAATGCATCCGTATCGCCTTGAACATCATCGCCAGGCGGATCGAAAGTTCTCAATACACCAGTTCTCTACTGTAGAGCGCACTCGAGTAGTTATATTCTCCAACCACGGAAGCGATTCCCAAGTTTCCAACCAAGGTACAGTACACCCCCGACCACAGAAGCACCGACTCGAGAAAACAGACACCAAAATAATATTTTTTTTTCTTTCGTAAAGAGAGTACTGTACTATACATCATATACTCGAGTACCACACAGGCTGTTGTAACGAGAGCTCCAAAACTCCCTGCTTCAACCTCACGTCTATTGACTTGTTCTTTCGTCGAGTAGATTGCACAGGCATTAGTGTTCGCTACTAGTGCGGTGGCGGCTCCGAAACCGCCCACATTCGATCGTACCCAATATTGCAGAATAGGCGAAGTACAGTATTGTACAGTATAAGTCAATCTCAAAGGGGAGCAGGAAGCGAAACATCTCTATGGCACCCAATCACTAAGTAGGGATGCCCGAAGTCCCCCGCACGGCAACCAGCATACGATGTACTCGTACTTCTCCACAAAAGGAGAGGTTTTTAGTGTCTGTTTTCTCGAGTCGGTACTTGCTGTAAGTTAGCCCGGAAGATATACCTTGGTCGGCAACCCGAAAATTAATCTCGCGGTTGAAAAATACAGTTGCACGTTGTTGCTACATCAGGAACTTCGAACCTCCCTATGGCAGTTTACCATGTACAGTACTCGTAATAGGGACGTTCGAAGTTCTCGGGACACGGAAGGTACAGGTGTTTCGGTACAGGTGTTTTTCTTGGAAAATATGGTAGACGGTAAACCATTTGGCAAGGAGGTATGCAGTATACCATGTTTAAAGGTACAGTCACTTTACCTCTTGCCCTCAGTTCAAACTAGCCTGTACGTTGCTTAGTCTATAACACTACCAGTTGGCCGAAAAAGAGAAAAGAAAAAAACAGTCTCAGGAAGCCACTTGAAATATTACTTTAAATCAGAACAAAGGTGAGATTATTCAGAGGGAATGAGAATTGGTGGAAGTGAGAGCACTAAAACTGTAGCTGAGTGTGAAAAAGAGGTAAGTATATAAATTAGAAGTAGGAAAAATAGTGGAGGATTCTTCGATCATGGAGGTTATTGAAAGTTTTTTTCATACTAGTTTTAGTGGCCTCTCCTACCTTATTTTTAGTTAATAGAGAGTTTGCGCAAAGGAACCTAGATAGCAGTAAAATCAATTAACATGTAACGATCCCTCTCCGGATAGTTAGTGCTTGGCGACGGGGAACGATACTTCTCTTCCTGTCTTCTTCTTCTTTTGTCTTACAATAGCTCTAGGCCTCTGCCTTCATTACCGATAGTACAAGACCCTTGTCTTCTACCGGGAACGCCTATCGTAAGCTTTCTCTAACTCTTCTTCATAAAGCGGCCTCCTTGGCGTAGCGATAACGTTGCAATAAGGATAAAGATTGTAAAGGTGTTTTATATTCGTTAAAGTAATAAGTAGGAAAAGTACTTAGAACAAAGCATGAAGAACCTATCTTCCTTGGCCGCATCGGCCTCCTTATATAGTGTTCTTCCCGCCTTTAGTCATGTGACCTAAAGTGGTCACATGTGTGAAACCAAATCATAACAAACTAGTCATATGACTCGACTGAGTCATATGCACGAAACCCATGACATCATAATGAGGTCATGTGCGAAACATAAATCATATGCACAAGGCTTACCCGTAAGGCACACTCGCAAGGCATACTCGTCAGGCACATGTCCCATGACTCATACTTGAGCCATGTGCGAAAGCATCACAAATCCCACACATAACAAATCATATAACCTGAATAGGTCATATGCACAAAACAATAACATACCTGTGACTCATAACTATGCATCACGTGAAAACCTTTCCCTTGTTAAGCCATGTTCATGACATAACATGTATTACACAAAAGTTCTCAGACACCTAAGTGGGTGGAGGTACCTGGCCATGGTCCAAAATAGTGAATTGCAGACCAAGAGTTCTCTATAGCATATTTAGTAATATTAGGCAGACAATCTGTATAGACTCAGAATCATCTAAGCCAATCAAGATTTGTTTCATAGATGGAGATTTGTCTAGGAAGGCTCAAAGGGTTACTTGTTTCATTTATAACTACTAAGAGTAAGGTAAAGAAAATAAAATCGTAAACAACATTATATTGTTAAGGTCTCTTCTCCGTTGCTTGATGATATCTAAAAGCTTGAAAGGTACATCAATATTTATATTCCACATCTGAGTGTTTGCAGACTACATCTATCTCTCATACAAATTATGTACCTCTTTAACTATATCTCACAATGTCGGGCATTCTCCAAAAGTGTGAATACTTGGAGACCCTGAAAACTATCACACCCTTTTCGGTGATTTACTATTTTGCCAGTTGAAAAACTGTACTGTTTCTAACAGTAATTATCTGATTTTTGGAGTTCTTAGACTTATAGTCTAGTTCTCAAGTTAAAATGAGTTGGCCCTAATTGTCTTCCTTACTGATAAAATGATCAGTTTCATCCATGGGTCATGTCTACAGGAGTAGTCATAGATGCAACTTTCCTAGATTGTCAACTTTAATTCTTCATAACTTCTAATTCAACTGATAAATTATTAGGAATACCGGGATCCGATACCTCAGAATCACCCTAAGTAGGATAACCTCACCTGGAATCGGAATCTCTAGTCTCCAACACCGCCCTCCGGCCCCCTTATGGGGCCTGCACATCATCGTGCATATCAATCTCAGTTACATACAGTGTCTCGTCAGAAGTGTTTGTGATTTGAGATATGTTTAATTGAGGTTGCGCCATGAGACCATGGAGTGTGGTTGTCAATAGCGCTTGCGTGAGTGTACGATCAACCGTCAACTACCACCTCTCAACCATCAACAGTTAATGATCAGTTATCTGCTATGTATATTTTAGAGTAAAATAATAATAAATAAGGCTAGCTAATGCTTTGTATAACCTCCCCTTGCTTCCAATACTACAGCTACTCTACCAGGCATTGATTTCCACAACTTTTCAAAAAACTCCTCAGCAATCATCTCCCAAACCACAGGTAATACTTGTGCAAGCCTCTTCTTAACAGCTTCTTTTCCTCCTAGGATATCTCCAATCTTTGGATACTGCTGGTGTAATCGCTTTTTAAGCTCAGCCTATACATCCTCAATAGGATTTAAATCAGGGGAGTATGGGGGGCATTCTACCAATTCAATAGAATTCCTTTCAAACCATTCCATAATACTACAAGTCTTGTGAACAGGAGCATTGTCTTGCTGAAAAAGAATATCTTCAAGTTGTATACCAAAGGAAATCATTTGATGAATTACAGGAAAAAGATGTCTTCTTAAGAGTCTAACATACCTGATCTTGTTGATATTTTGGGTGATAAGAATCAAAAGACCTTTTCACTTACCCCAAAAGCACTCCCATACCATAAGCACAATACCCTTATCCTTTTCCTTTGTGTGAATACAGTCTGCAAGCCACTGCTCCCCAGGTTCTCTGAAAACGCTCTGCTGCCTTGGATTCCTGGATTTCTCCACACTGCACTCATTACTCCAGATGACTCTCTCAAAATCCTCACCTGTCCAATTCCTATGAGCTGTAGTCTATTTTATTCTCTTAGCTATATTGACAGCTTTGAGCTTGGGTCTTGACTTGGCTAGCCATTTCTTAATATTGGCATCTCTGAGTACTCAATCCACTATAAATTTGTTAGAGAATCATGTTCTGTCACTCAGGCTCAGATGGGTACCAACCAGTAGAAAGAGAAACACCTGGTGCATATTTATCCCTGAAATCTAATCTGGTCATTTTCCGGTTAAATCTGGCAGCATAGTTGATTGTACAACACAGTCGCTGACTGAGAACAGGTGTGCGACTAGGACAAGGAATTTTATACAAGGATAGAAGCTCACATGCGCCAGTAAGAAAGCATTTAATAGTAGACCATGGCTGGCCAATAATTTGAACAATTGGAGCAATATTCCAGATGCAGTAGAAAAATCTGATGATCATGCCTTTTTTGCACATTGGTTATTTCAGTTTGAGTAGTCTTTGGATTTCGCTTTTTTGACTTTGATTTATATCCGGATCAGTTAACTATTGGAAATTCAGAGGTGTTTATAATTAAAGAATTATTTGAACAGAGGATCATGGTATCGTCATGTAAATATTGTATAGGGCAGGTATCATATGGTTGCCCGATCAGCAAGCTGGCATTTAGTAAGGTAGAATTTAGCAAGGTGGCATTTTTGGTGAGGTTGGTTAGTAAGACCATCACGAACACTTCTGACGAGGCACTGTAGCCCATTTGGAATATCTCGCGACTCTTTACCGAAGGTTACATATTCAACTCCTGTTATTGTCAAAG